GGTTCAGTTGCCCTACACTGAAAACACTCCTAGAGGAAGAAAGTGTCTAGTCATGGGTTTCCACTTGGCTTCTCCCCAGCCAGACACTGGGCTGGCTGGCCTCAGCTAGACTGGGGTTTCTGGGACTGCAGGCATCTGGTTCTGAAAATGGAGAGAGAGGGAAGAACCCCTCTCTGTTCCCAGCATGCAAATCTCCTCAAATCAGGCCTCGGTTTCCAGGACTACAGCCCTGACGGCACCTGGGCCAGGATCCCACCGCGACAGAGGAGTAGACAGTAGTGTTTCAGAGCCCAAGACAGGCTGTGTGACTTTGGGCATGTCACTTAGCTTTTCTGAGCCTCTTTCCTTATCTGAAAATCAGAGTGAAAATCTTGATGTTGCAGGGTAACTGTGAGAAAGGACTAAAACAGTGGTGGTGACAGTGTCAGCCCCCATCACTCAGTGACAGCTTCCTTTCTCCCTGCGAAATCCTGGGCAAAGGGCGAGCTGGTCAACAAGAAGGGCAGCCTCCTTCCTGCAGGAGGAGCCATGGGGGTAGATACCCATGTGCTGGGGCTGCTTCCTGAGCCCAAGGAGGGGGACAGCCCAGCTCCAGGGAAAGGTTAGAAGTGAACTTGAGCAGAGGAGAGCAGTGGGAAGGCCAGGAGAGGGAAGGTGCTGGCATCCACACCCAGCCCTTGCCGATCAGCTGCCGAGGAAACAGGCCTGTGCTCCCTGCTCTGCAGATGTGTGAGCCCCAGAGCTGATGAAGGGCTGTGGGGAGAAGATCCTGGCCTTCCCCCAGTGAGGTGCTCCAGATCATGAGGCTGTGCTGAGGCAGGTTGGGCTGCAGGGCTGGGCAAGAGTGCACTGGGCCCAGGGGAGGACCTCCGTAAGCTGGAGCCAGTGAACAAGGCAGACAGGACAGAGTTGGGAGATGGTTTGGCAGGCGGTGTGGCTGCCACAGTGGGGTCAAGGAACTGCAAAGGCAGAGGAGATGGGAGGGGACTAGGGGAATCATGAGGCTGTGGATCTGGAGAGAGGTGCTGAGCTGGTGGGGAGGAGATGGGGGTCTGAACCAGGCCCAGCTGTTCCTGGTGGCCATGTGGTCCATGAGGCACAAGGCCTGGGGATCCCTTGGCCTGGTCCCAGCAGTCAGGGGGCACCAGAGTTGAGCAAGAGGCATAGTCCATGGGGCACAAGCGCTCATGCAACTGGAGGGTCCTGCTCCACTGCACCAGCTCGGCCTGCAGGGCCTGGATCTCCTTCCTCAGGCTGTGGTTGTGTTTCTCCAGGGACTCATGCTGCTGGGGGAGAAGAGATGGAGGGAAGTGAGTGTCAGCCAGCATCAGGGGCCCAGTGTGAGCCCTGCACCCCTCTCCCTTAGGTCCTCAATTTCAGGGGAAAGAGGCTACCACCTTGTGAATGTCCAACTTGGGCACCTTGGCTAATCTCTGGTCGGCCTCTCACAACTGCCCACCAAGTCTTCACCTTCTCCACCTCCCAAGTAGACTCAAGTCGGCCATACTTGTCCTGCCACTGGCTCCCTGAACTGGCACAGTCCTGCTTGGGAGGTCCATCACCCCTTAACTGGTGTACCCCTGAAACCACCCCAATCTTTTGGCCCAGAGAAGCCATGCAATGAGCGTCATTAATGTAGGCCGAAGTCCTTTAAAGGCTTCTGTGACTCCCAGAATCCAAACTCCTGTCATGGGTTTGAGGCCAACGTGGTGGCCCCAGCTCAGGCCTCCAGTTTTCTCTCTCCCACCTTCCTTCTGACTCCCCTCCTTTCCTGTCCCTCAGATGGACTCTGCTTCCTGGCTACATTTCCTGTCTCCTCTGCCTGGACACTTGACCCCCACCCCCCATGTTAATTTTGACATGGATGTTGTGTGGCAACTTTGATGTCATTCTGTCCTGGACATCTCAAGTCTGCTTAATATCACTGCCAGACCTCCCCAGCACCCAGAACTCGCCGACTGCAGCCCTGTGGGAGGATTCAGGATACTGTTTCATAGGTTGACAGCACGGGATGTTCCCTGAATCAGCACTTATTAAGTTCGGTGCTGCTGAATGCCAGGTTCTGAGAACCCTCTGGGACAATAATCCCTGTGCAGTTCTGAACGGTCATTCATGATGACAGCAACAGTGAAAATGCAGAGAGAATTTTAACTCAAACAGCTTCTTTCAGTCCTCCCCTTACCCTCTTTTTGGAAACTAAAAGGAAGTTGCAAAAGTGTTTTTGCATAAAAGTAATCTAGGCCATGGACTCAAAGTTCTAACAGGCCTCATAGCCACTAGCAGGCCCACTCCCAGGCTGGTTTCTACATGTGGAGTGATGGACATTTGGAAAATCTATCATTAGATTACCCTTCACGTGAATTCTCCAAGGGTATCAACTCACCTCCAGGAAACAAGTCACATACTCATTCATTCATTCATTCATTAGCCACCTGCAGGCTGCTCAAATGCCACTATTCAGGGAGAGCTCCCTAGTTAAATTCCGGTCATCCCGCCCTACAACTTGCTTCCCTCTTCCCGCTTTATTAGAAGCCCTGGTTCTCCCTAGGACTTATCACCATCTGTCATCCCAAATACTTTATGGATCATTTGTTCGCCTGTCTGGTCGTAAGACTACAAACCCTGTGGAGGTGGAGGTGGGGTTTCTGCCTGCTATGCTCACAGCTGTATCCCCAAAGCTTACAACGGGGTCTGTCACACAGATGATACCCAATAGGCATTTCCAGAAGGAACGGATAAAGGAAAGCCCAGAGTCTCGAAGGCGCCATCCTGAGCACCAATCCTCATTCTCGCCCTGTCCACAGAGAGCTGGCCCCCCACACCTGTGCCACTACTGTTCATTTGTCCCTATTTTCTTATCTTAGTTGACTTGGAAAACCCCCATCATCCTTCAAGCCCAACTCGGACCTCGTCTCCCCTTGTTACCACTCCATACTGCTACCACCACGCAATGGACTGAACGGTGAGGTGAGGTTCTAATCCGATTGGATCAGTAGCTTTGCCGGACAGATGGGAGGGGTCACTCACTCCCCCATCTCACTCACACCAAGGAAAGACCATGGACACACAATGAGAAGGTGGCCACCTGCAAGCCAGGAGAAGAGCCCTCAGCAGGTCTTGGGCCTGCCAGCCTTCAGAACTGTGAGAAATAAGTGCCCATGGTTTAAGCTGCCCAGCTCATGGTGTTTGTGACGGCAGTCCGAGCGAAAACACTGCATGTTGCCAGTGGCTGTGTGTCCCCAGGTCACTGTCACTACCCAGGGAGTTACTGAGACTATCCTCTTTGCCAGGCACTGTTCTAGGTGATGTGGAAAGAGAAGAGAATAGACTAGCTTCCTGCCCATAATCTGGGGAGGGAAACAAACAACGTTCATGGAACATGAAATAGAAGGTCAGAGCTAAGAAGAAAGATAAAGCAGGATAAGAAGAGAGCAGTCTGTTGATTTTATTTATTTATTTAAAAATTTGTTACAGGGCTCATGTGCTCACCAGAGAGACTGGGCTAGAGAGAGAAAAAGAGAAAGTGAAACCATCCCTGGGGGTAATGGCCACCACCTCACAATCCCTTCTCCTCTCAGGATTTTGGGCGCTCACACACACACATGCCTGGAGTACTTTTTCAAGCCACTGAGTTTCTGGACTTGAACAGTGCAGTCAGCCACGTGGGACTTTTTTTTTTTTTTTTCATTTCCCATAGGCACATGCGCTCACTAGAGAGAGGAAAAGTGAGAAATCTCCCCCAGGGGTGATCGACATGCAGCAATCTCTTCTCCATTCTCCTTCTGGGATTCCGAGCATGCAAGCACACACACCTGGCATGATGTTCAAGCCACCAGGTCTGGTCTGGGACTCGAACTGCGGTCAACCATGTGGGAGGCCAGCACCTTAACCGCTACGCCACCTGCTGACCTCCACGTGGGACTCTTAACCACTATGCCACCGCTGCCCCTAATGAGGTCTTTAGATCGAATGGTTTAGAAAGGCCCTTCTAAGAAGTAACATCTAACAATAACAACAACAAAAACCCCCTCAAAGAAATACGGATGAGCAGGCTGCTCTCTGAGTGGAAGACCATTCCAGGTAGAAGGAACAGGGTGCCTGAGGACCAGCAAATGACGTAATGGTTATATCACTATACTCCCACGTAGTTGACCATGGTTCGAGTCCTGGATCTAGCAGTGTTTTCAGGTGAGAGTGCATGGTGCCCATGATCCCAAGAAGAGAATGGAAGAGAAGGGATTACGGCATGGCCAAGCCCTCTGGGGCTGATTTCTTGCTTTCTATCTCTCCCGTGAACACACACACCCTATAGCAAAAATTTTTCTCTCTCTAAGAAAAAAAAGGAAGGAACAGAGCCCCTGAGGAGGCTGGCCTGAGAAAGAAGAGAGCAGGGTGCAGTCAGAGTGGAGCAAAGGGACACTGGGAAAAGAGGACAGAGGTGGAGTGAGGCTGCAGAGAGACAGGGCCTTGGGGCTGGGAGGCCCACGGATTCTACTCCCCTCTCTAATGCCCAGAGCCGGACAGGCTCCTGCAGAACCCGAGACCAGCTTTTAGCCCAGCGCCCTCAGAACTGGGCGGGGTCTCCCTACTCAGAGTGCCAGCTCCTTCTGCCATGGGCTCCTCAGCCTTCCTCCATCTGCTGTGGTCTCCCTGGGGTCCTGCCAGCAGGTTGAGATTGTGTCCCCATTTTCAGATGAGGAAAGTGAAGCTTGGTGAAGAAAAGGAGGATGCAACTTGCAACTGAGACTCAAAGCCCTGCACATCTTAATCCTGAGGCAGAATTTTCAGTGGGATCTCAGGCACCACCTGAATCCTGTCCCACAGGGAAGTTAGTCACAAAGCGCAGGCCCTGGACCTGGTGGGGAGCAGGAATTCAACTTGAACAAGTGCTTCCACTTCCTTTCTCCCTTCATCCAGATGGGGGATGTCCCAGGTCAGGACCAGGATGAGGATGCATCTTTGTGTCCTCAGAGCCCAGCATGGACCTGCCACAGCACTCAGCACCCAGAGATTTCCAAACCTCAGCCACAGGGCCTTTTCCTCTTCCGAAACTCAAGTAATTTGGGAAAATACAGCCCTCTCAGGAGATCTGTTTACAGGCAGAATGGAGAAGAGCCGGCTGGGCTGCTGAGCGAATGAGGGATAAGGAAGGCCAGTGTCCCCACCTGGTGCAGGGCATCCGCCCTGTCTGTGTGCTTCTGCCGGCTGCGCCGGGCGGCCACCCGGTTCTTCTGTTTCTTCTTCAGCTGTCTCTGATGCTGCTCAGGGTCCTGGCGGGTGCAAGGCAGAGGGGCTCAGGGGTCTCTGGGGGAGCTTGCACCATCCACCCTGCCCGGCTAGCCTTCCCCTCAGCCAAGTTCTTGAGGGTCCCTGCCCTCCCATCAGCCCCCCTTGCTTACTCAGCACCCACACGCCCCTGTGGACACTGCACAGCTCATGGTAATGGCAGCTTCGCCCTGCATCCTGCCCACAGCTCACATGGGGCGGGGGGGCACACGGGAGAATCAAACTCAGACGGAACTGGCTTCAAACCCCCAACTATATTTTTATTTTAATTTTCCAGAGGGGACGTGTGCTCACTGAAGAGAGACAGAGAAAGTGAGAAAGCCCCCCCGCCACCAATGGGGAACAGTCGCATCACAATCCCTTCTCCAGGATTTTGGGCATGCAAGCACACACGCCCAGAGTGTGTTTCAGGCTGCTGGGTCCAGGACTCGAACTACAGAGTTGGCCATGTGGGATCCCACCACCCGCCCATAGGCTGACTGCAAACCCCACACTCTTACTAGCGCCTGAACCCAGGGCA